ACTATTGATGCTCAGCCCTCACAGGGACTCTTCTTTGATATACTGTTGTTGTCTTGTGTCGTGGAGATCCTGGAGCTTTGGGTCTACAGGACCAGTGTTGTAAAGAGTGTGGGGACCCTTTGTTTCGTCCACCCAGCTAGCTTACTCCTGAAATAATCACACAGAAATTGTTTTAATTAAATTACTGCTTGGCCCATTAACTCTTATTGGCTAACTCTTGTAGTGATGAGGCGAGCAGGCCTGCTTTTCATCCTGCCTGGCTCCTGCATGGCTAGTTTAGCCCTGGAAATAACAACACACAAACTGTATTCATTTAAACACTGCCTGGCCCATTAGTTCTAGCTCTTATTGGCTAACTCTCACATCTCTTGATTAATCCATTTCTAATAATCTGTGTAGCACCATGAGGTGGTGGCTTACCGGGAAGATTCTAACCAGCATCCATCTTGGAGAGGAGAGTCATGGTGTCTGACTCACTTCCCTTCTTTCCAGCATTCTGTTCTGTCTACTCTGCCTATCTAAGCTGCTGTCCTATCAAAGGCCAAGGAAGTCTCTTTATTTGACCAATGAAAGTAACACATAGACAGAAAACCCACCTACATCAAACTCTCACATCTTGATTTAACCCATCTCCATTAATGTGTATACCACATGACTGTGGCTTACCGCAAGCTTCTAACCAGTATCTGTCTCAGGTAGGAGAACCATGGTGTCTGACACTCTGCCCTTCTTCCCAGCATTCAGTTCTGTCTATTCCACCTACCTAAGTCTGTCCTATCAAAAGACCAAGGAAATTTCTTTATTCAACCAATGAAAGAAACACATAGACAGAAGAACCTCTTACACCAGACCAGCATCTTAAGGTGCTCCAGCAGATCACAGATGGGGTAGATACTGGAGTGAGCCCCTCAAAGCTCTGGTTCTGGGTCTGGGTGGTTGCTGGGCTGGTCAGTCTACCAGCTCTCCCTCATTCTCACCACCAGGGTAACCCCTCCAGTGAGGCTAGTACTCCTGCTCTCATGGCCTTTGGGATGGCTCACCCATACCTACACCAGCAGGGCCAGCTTTACTGTGTTGTCCAGACAAGGTGCAGGCCACTCTCCTGAGCACTGCAGCTGTTGAGATGCAGCAACAGCTCTCTCACTCTCATGACCTCAGGACCAGCTCACCACCTGCCACAGGTAGCCAGGAGTGGGTCAGAGAAGGCACCTCTCCCTTGCCCATTCCAAGGTATGACAGATGAGGGTCAGGGCCAGGTCTTTCACACTCATGAATTCTGGCAGACTCACTCACACTCCTGTAAACTCGGGTCAGCTCTATTTTGCTGCCCAGGTGAGATGCAGGGCTCACTCAGTTGGTAGGGGTCTGGGTCAACTCTCCTGCTTGCCTCAGGAGATGAGGGACAAGGTGGGAGGGTGCCTTTCATTTTGAATATGTTTATTTTTCCTTGCAATTCTGTTTGGTTTTGCTTCATGTTTAAATCTCTGTTACTGGGTACATATATGTTTACTGTTATTATATCCTCTTATAATTAACTGACTCCTATACTATTATAAAATGACCTTCTTTAATCCCTGATGGTATTCCTTGCTTTGAAATCTACATGATATACTACAGCTACTTTGATTCCTTGTGATTCGGTGTATTGTACCACCTAGGGTTTTGTTCATTTGTTTGTTGTTTTTCTACCTGACCTGGAGTCCTCTGAGAAGCAGAAAATTCAATTGAGAGAATGTCTCCACCATATTGGCCTGTTGGGTGCATTTTCTTGACTAATGATTGATGTGGGAAGGCCCAGTCCATCATGGGTGATGACAACCCTGGGCAGATGACTGTAACATGAGGGGCTGGCTTGTTGGGGTTTCTATCCCGCCCGGTACCCCACATCCGGCAAATCCCAAAGAAAATCACACACCGGACTCCATAAGATTATAAAGCTGATTGGCCCATTAGGTCAGGCTTCTTATTAGTCCTTGTAACTTATATTAACCCATTATCATTATCTATGTTAGCCACATGGCTCAGTACCTTTTCCAATGGGGCAGCTTACATCTTTCCTCTCCGGTGGTCTGGGCAGAACTGCTGAGGGAACTTCCTGCTTTCCAGAATACTCCCAGTCTCTTTGCTCCACCTCTACTTCCTGTCTGGCTTTCCCGCCTATACTGCCTGCCTGGCCAATCAGTGTTTTATTAAAATATGATTGACAGAATACAGGCAATTCTCCCACACCAGATGACCTTGACTTGTAAATGGAAGAGGCTGAGCAAGCCATGAGGAGGAAGCTTGTAAGAGTACCCTTCCATGGCTTCTGCTTCCTTGAATTCATGCCCTGACCTCCCTCAGTGATGTACTGTTACCTGAAGTGTAAGCTGAATACACCCTTCCAAAGCTCTCCAAGTCGCTTTTGCAATGGGATCTCTTACTAAGGCATGCGTGATTTTTTTTTTAACTTGTGCGTCTTATACCTGGGTTTCTCATAAGCAGCATCGAGTTGGATCTTATTATTTGATCCAATTTGACAACTTCTTTCTTTGAATTCAGGTACTTGGACTATTTAGATTTTATGTGACTGTTGTGTTCAGGCTTGTTGTTTTTTATTTTTCTCATTTGGCCTACTCCCCCCCGACACACACACACCATGTATTCTGTTGTCTTGTGAATTAATTGAGCACTTTTATGACTCTACTTTATCATCTAATTAGCCTATTAAACTGTACTATATTATTTTTAGCTATTACTTTAGGGTTTATATGTTTTTAAACCTACAACATCCTAAATAATAGCATATTAGTTCACAAATAATTCAGGCTCATTGCAGAGATGTAATCTCACTGTCCACCCTTAGCCTTTACATCGCAATGTTGACAGAGGTTTCTGTCCTGTCCAGTCCCTCAGCCATCCAGTCCCAAAGAATCACACAGAGGTCTACATTAATTGTAAACTGGTTGAGCTAGTAGCTCAGGCTTTGTATTACCTCTTTCTTACATCTTAAATTAGCCCATTATTCTTGTCTATATTAGCCATGTGGCTTGGTACCTTTTATCAGTGAGGCATTCTCATCTTGCTTCCTCTGTGACAACTACAGACTGAGCCTTTCCTCTTCCCAGAATTCTTCTGTTCTGGTGGCCCCTACCTGTATTACCTGCCTGCTACTGGCCAATAAATGTTTATTAAAGTACAAGTAACAAATCTTTACAGGGTACAAGATCATTGTCCCACAGCAACTACTCATATCCATAAATAAATTTTACAAAGAAACTGAGCATTTTTGTTGCTCGTTTTTGCTATATATGGACTGTCTTTTCTCCACTGTCTACTTTTGAGTGTTTCTCTGGTGACATGGTTTTGAACATCTTAATTTTAAGGAACCTCAGGGTATGTTACTTTTCCCATATCTTGTGCTTAGTGAGATTCATTGGATTGATTGGGTCTTGGTTTATAGTTTTAAGTTTGCAAAAATTTTAGACTTGTTTCTTCAAATTTTTTTTTTTTATTTTTTGCCTTTTCCCCTCTTTTTAAGGGATCCCAGCTGCTTGCATCCTGGGCCACACAAGACTGCCCCTAGTGCTTGAGTTCTCTTTTTATGCTTTGGACTTTGCTTTGCTTATTTTGATTGTCCCTACTGCTACACATTCAGGTCACATGGTAATTTTCCTCTCTAGTATTTGGTCTTCTCTTACAGCCCATGGCATAGACCTCCCTGCCCCCAAGGTGTCATTGTTTTCATCTCTCAGAGTTCACTCTGGGTCTCTCTAACTCATGTGTCTCCCGAGCTTTTGCCAATAACAGTAAATCACTGGCGTGTCTCACACCTGTGCCAGTTCAAGGTCTGCTCGATTGATTAGTTATCCCCTCTACTACACGTCACGTTTGTCTGCCTCTTCTGCGTGCCTAGCTACCTTTGACCGGTTGCCAGGCATTACAAATTTTACCTTACTGGGACCAAATATTTTCTTATTCTTATAAATCTTGGGTTTCCTGGGAACAACGTGATCTTCTAAGACATGCCTTGATGATTTGTTAGGTGAGTCTGGCATAGTTCTCAGCGCTCTACCTAACATCCCATGAATTACAACCTTTTCCAGCAGAGCTGGACGGAATCAGCATTTGTCTTGTCTTATGTGGGTGCTCTAATCTTTTCTGTGACACATAAATGTGTAGATTAATAGTCCTGGTATATGAGGAAATGTGTATGCATATATGTGTGAGCACTAAACATGCACACACAATTTGACAAATAAAAGCAGAAATACCTGCTGTGGAAATTTGGGTGGCAGAAACAGTAAAGAGGCTCCCAAATATTAGCTGTTTTATCACAATTCCTGGAATTAAAGGCAGTTTTCCATTATTATTGTTGTTATGATTATGTTGTAGTTTCTAAACGGACTAAATGAAATGCAAGGACTGCTTTCGTTCAGGAAAACAGTGCTGTTAAAATTGTATTTAAGGGTACATTTTAATCTCACATCCCAGGCTGTTGGTCTGGTTTGCCTTTGGGTTCAGAAAAGACATACCTTCCCAAAGGCTTAAAGCCTGTTGGGTGAAAATGGAGTCGGGGTTGTTTAATAATAAAGTGGCTGAGATCATGATATCCAGTCACGCTGATGAGGCCCCTCTCCTGAACTTCCTTCTCAGAGGCCACTGAACCTGTTCCCGCAAGAGAGAGGTCAGCAACAGAGAGATTAGTGCTTCCTGCCTTGATTGGCTGTGCCAGAGGGTTAGTCACACAAGACCTCACATCACAATGAGAAAGGAAACAAACCTTTGCTCACACCGCGGGGCCAAACTGCAGAAAACAGGAGTCAGGCAGGTGTGAGCTGAATGAAGTCACCTCTAGATGCCAGCTGTTGCTTGTTCTACAGCTGGTCTTTTGTTGGGGCTGGGGTGGGGGAGCAGCTCTTGTACATGGTCTTTTGAATGGCGGAATAATTTGGAGATAGATACTGTTTTCTGAAATTTATGAGAGAACAAACTGAATCCTCTTCACTTTCTTTTATTAGGCAAACAATTTACATTTTATTATGGAAATGAAGTCCACAAACAAGATTACTTCATTAAGTCGCCACCCCCTCAGCTTTTCTTCTCGGCAGTAAGTCATTGTTGTAGTTTAACCAGCCTCCCACCAGCCTCCCACCAGCCTCCCCCACCAGCCTCCCACCAGCCTCCCCCACCAGCCTCCCACCAGCCTCAGGAGCATTTGAGAGAAGACCCTGCTCATCTTCTGAGGTTTAACTGAACAGCAAAACCTTCTCATTTTCAGACCTCCTGGAAAAAGCGGCTTTTTATCCTGTCCCAGAATGGGGAAAGGGGCCTGAGTCTCTCCTATTATAAAGACCATCAACATCGAGGGTCCATCGAAATCGATCGGTGTGTATCCAAACCAGGAAAACTGAACAGCAATAAATGTGCCCAAGCCAGACGCTAAACAAGCTGCACAGAAACTTGAACCTGAGTCTCGAACAAAAAGAAGCAAGGGCTTCAGACTTTTGTGTCTCTAAAAGAACCGAAATAACAAACGGCGTAGGTAAAAGTGATATAGCTGCTTCATACTGTGTGTCATAGGCGGTAAATCTCTAATTCCTGGTCCTTCGATTGAGGACTTGGTCTCAATTTTTTGATGCAAAAAGAGCTCCTGAAATTCAATTTCATAGAGCCAAAGTGGACGTTAAGAAATATTTAAACTATTCTTTGTCTTTTCTTCAGAAATCACATACCAGAAATACTGAAAAATATAGTGATTTGTGGACTCAGGAATCCAACCCAAATGGAAACTTCTGAATTGAAATTCAAGCTGAACAGAGTATTTTCAATTACTGATGAACCAGATCCAGAGTTATTTTCTAAAATAGAAAGAATTCAAATGAGATTTATGAGGTGAACTAGACAGTCTTTAAAATGTGGGTCAATGAAACCGTCAGTTTCATTCCTAATTTAAAACAAGGATCTGTTTTTCTCTTAAGTTGCTCTCTGTATCAGCCTAGTTCCTTTGTGTCTGTAGAAGCACCGTCATAGAAGTTGGTATAAATAGCCAGGAAAAGATGCAGTCTGTGCAGAAGATGTTCAAATGCCACCCGGACGAAGTGATGTCCATCAGAACCGTGAACAGGGACTACTTCCTCGTCGGCCATGACAGGTGAGGGCACGATGAGCGTGTCTGCTGAGTGTGAAATAAAAGCATTATAAATCATAAATCTATAGATGATGAACAGGCTGAGAATGGAAACCAGGCTGCAAGTGCAAAGCAGCAGTCTTCAGTGTTCTAAAATGGTTTTGTGTGTGCGTGTGTACACATCTGAGTGTGTGTGCAATAAGTGTGACTGCATATGTGAGTGTGTGTATACATGTATATGCATGTGTGTGGTTGCACATGTGTGTATGCATAGATGTATGGCTGTACATGTGAGTATGTGTGCACATGTATGTGTATGACTGAACATCTGAGTGTGTGTGTACACGTGTGTGGTTGCACATGTAAGTGTGTGTGTACATGTGTTTGACTGCATATGTGAGTATATTTGTATATGTGCATATGTATGTGGCTGCACATCTGAGTATGTGTATATGTGTGTGTGCATATGTGTGGGGGTGCACACATGAGTATGTGTGGACATGAGTGTGTGTGCATGTGTGTGGCTGCATATCTGAGTGTGTGCGAATGTGTGTGCATGTGTGTGCATATGTCTATGGCTGCACAACTGAGTGTGTATATATGTGTGTGGTTGCATATGTGTATATATGTGTGGTTGCACATGTGAGTGTGTATGGTTGCACATGTAAGTGTGTGTATGTGTCAGTGTGCATATATGTGTGACTGCATATCTGAGTGTGTGTCCACATGTGTGTGGTTGCATATTTGAATGTATACATGTGTGTGCATGTATGTGGCTGTACATGTGAGGGTGTATACATGTGTGGATTGCAATGTGCATGTGCACGTGTGTAGTTATGCATGTATGTGTGTATGTGTCTTGTGCATGTGTGCATGGCTGCATATCTGAGTGTGTACACATGTGTATGGTTGCATATTTGAGTGTATACATGTGTATGCGTGCACATGTGAGTGTGTGTGCATGTGTGTGTGGATATGGAGGCCAGAGGACAACCTTGCCTGTCACTCCTCAGGAGCTGTCTACTTTGTCTTTTGGCACAGAGCCTCTCACTGGATTGAGTTAGGCTAGGCTGACTCGCCAGAAAGGTGCCGGGATCTGCCTGTCTCTGCTCTGCAGCTGGTGTTGCAGACACCCCACCATGCCTGACTTTTCTGTAGGGATTAAATTCAGATCCTCATGGTTGTGTGGCAAGTGCCAACTAAGCTTCCTCTTTGACTTTTAAAGTAGTTTTCAGAGTCATTCTGCTAGCTGCCTACGCATGTTATAACTGTGTTATAAACAACAAAGGTGTCTAACCTCACTGTTCTGAAGGCTGGGAGTCAGAATGAGGAGCAGACATGGCCTCTCCCATGAAGGACTGTGAAAGGAAGGCTCTTCTCAACCCTCTCTCGTGGAACTGCTGATGATTCCTTGGCCACAGCCGCCAAACCCTAGCTTTTACATGGCGGTCCCCATGTGCACATATCTCTGGGTCAAACTCCTCCTTTTCCGCAGATAGCAGTCTCACTAGCATAGGAGGTACCTCTATTCCATTAGGACCTCAACCTAACCAGCTATTTCTGCAAGTTGTCCCTTTCCGCGTAAGGTAACAGCTGAGGGCTGGGAGCCGGAAAGACTTCGTAGATGAGGAGAGGGTCACGAAGCGAGCCATGACAGTCGCTAACACCCAGATGCCTTCTGTGAAAACGTGAGCTACAGGGAGGGACAGCTCACCCTCAAGGCATCTGCGGCTTTTAAGAGCGGCTCCTGTGGATTCTCACGTCAGCTTATCTACAGGAGAGAGGTTAGAAGGAGGCGAGGCTGAAGACAAGCTTGAAGCCTTCACGTGTTTCTGGTTGACCCAAAGCTGCAGTTTTCTTTTGAATTGCCACCCAAGACAGCAGAAAAGAAGATGGGGAAAGTCTCAATTTGCTCAGATGCACTTGCCTCGCTCACTTTTCTGTCTGCTGTGATGAAACACTGACTCCTGAGGACAGGGTTTGTTTAGCGTACACATCCTGATTACAGACCATCATTGAGGGAGGTCAGAGCAGGAACTTGAGGCAGGGACCTGGAGGAGGAACCGATGCAGAAGCCCGGGAGCAGGGTGTGCTGCTCACTGACTTGCTCGCTATGGCTTGCTTAGCCTACTTTCTTAGCGCACCCAGGCCCATCTGCCCAGGGGAGACACAGCCCACAGTAGACCGGGCCTACAACACTGATATTTAATCAAGAAAATACCCCCACAGACCTGCCTACAAGCCAACCTGATGGAGGAATTCCTTCAATGGAGCTTTCCTCTTTCTAGACGTCCTGTATTTGTGTCCAGTAGACAAAGAATGAACCAATACAACATTCTTTGTAAAAATGCGTTTCCTGAGAGGGGCGGGGATGACCGGAGGATACGCAAGTGGGGTGACAGGCAGAACATCAGGGAAAGCAGCAGCCCTGTGCCCCATGTTCCTGCTGTTGTTTCTGAGATTCCGCACTGGAGGTGTCGTGAGGGTTAATTCAACTGTGCAGACGCAGAGACAGTGAGGGAACAGTGGGCCACACTACTGCTTGGGGAAAGAGTTCGTTCTGGGGGCAGCTGATCCCAACACTGCTCCGAGTGCAAAGAATCTGCTGGGTTCAGAACGAGTGTGGAAGAGATTGCTACCAATGTCATCTGAAACTCTCTTTGTACCCTCAGGGAGACAATCAAAGACTGGGTCTCCTTCATGTCGCCGTATTGCTGGGGTGTGCACGCAGCTCATCAGAATACAGAGGTAACTCGACATCCCTAATGATGACGTTCCAGGGCACCTGAACACTGCCTTCTTTTCTTAGAAACAACAGCGGCCCTTTCTTTCCCCTTAGCAACCAGTATTAATACAAAGAATAAATAAGTGAGGAAACGCATGCCCTTGCTACTTTCACAATTAACAAAAGGAAAAATACTTTGGTGTTTTGTAAGAGAGCTAAATTATATTGTCATTGTTGCGGCAGGGGAGTGAAAGTTAATGGTGGCAATTTTCATAGCAGCGTGAAGTAGACTATTTTCCACCATTGAGATTTTAGGTACATAGCCAGCTTCCCTTTGAATGGCTAAGTCTAGGGAGGCGGCTCAAACATTGTTTCCATCTGCCTACATTGTAATATAATGTCTCTTGTGTCAGGTAAGCAGCTGAAGGGTTTAATTGGTTTCCTAAGGAGCTTTGTAAATTTCTCCCGGTCCTTTCTTAGAGACTGTCACAGAAGGAACTGAGGTGTAGCTACATTTACCGGTGTATTTTCCCATGTTATTCCATGCTGGTAGCAAATGCCCAAGAGAAGGAGAGATCAAGGCATGTCACCCGGTAGATTCGATGATGAGAGAAGAAATGACAGGGCGTGAAGGGAGACACGGTGGGGAGGACAGGCTTGGAGGGGGGTACTCGGGGTGCCTGTTAAGGCCAGGCTGGGTGTCTCTGGGGACTTGTCTTAGTGCTATGACCACGGCTGGGCCGGGCTGGGTGTCCTTGGGGACTTGGGAGCGGGAGAAAGTCGCACTGACAAGGTCAACCCTTGTCTCTGTGCTATGACACTGGCCTCTGGGCAGTGCAGACGTCAAAGCCTTGGGGAGACCTGGAGAAGGGACGCCCTGGTGGTCGTGGAGGGGACTGACAGTAACAGGAGGGCAATTGCGCTCTAAATCTAACCACAAAACGACTTTTTTTCTAAGCAGGAGAAGCCTTCGCTGGGTGACAGAAGGCCAGTTTCCGACCCCAGTCCTTTCTTTGGTCTCTGCAGTGCACCGGAGATTGTCGGCCTCGCATCACCAAGGGCCAGTCTTCCAGACATGGTAATCCAAACCTCCTACTACTACTGTGTCAGGACGCTGCAGCAGGGAGTCGGCCATTGCTGAGTAGAACCACTGGCTAGCGGCAGGCATTGACCTCGCCCATCTTTCTTCCTGAAGGAAAGAGCTGAGGAGACAGGTCCCTCAGAGCAGTATTTGCTGTGTAAACACAAAGGCTGGCTTTGACTCCCCAGAACTCATGTGGCGGCACACATCATAGCTCTAGTACTGAGGAGGCAGGGACAGGTGCATCCTTGGGGTTCTCTGGCCTTTCAGCCTAACCTGTTTGGTGAGTTCCAGGCCAGTGAAGAAAAACAAACAAACAAAAAGCATACACATAGTCACACTCACACACACACACACACACACACACACACACACACACACAGAATGATTTCTGATCTTAATATGTATGCATACTTGCTCATTTCCCATTCTACAGGTAGGCTTTAACACTTCCCTAGCTGACTCTAAAGATTTCAGTTCCGTTTGGAAAATTTTGACAGACGGCAGTTCCTTCCCTAAGTGTGGCCAGCAACCTCCCGTCCTTACACACACACAGGGCACTAAGTCCCCCAAGCACTCCTTGATCTCCGGTGTGCTGTCCATACCCTCAGGCAAGGTGGAGTTCCCTTGGCTCATCCCACCCGTCTGGTTTCTCATTCTGGGTGTCAGGTCCTCTTCACTCCTAACATAATCTGCTTGAGGAAGTCAGATAAGCATCTGCCTCCTGAAGGTCACAGAATTGTGCCCTCACCTCTCTGGGTTTGCTGTGTGTCTAGATTTGGCTATTCTCAGTAAACAGGCTGGGCAGTTTCCTTCCCTGAAATCTGTTATTTCATCCCTTAGGGACACCCCACTGGCTCTTTCCCTCTGCAGGTACCAAGCACATGCAAAGAGGCAAGGCTTCTCATTTTATCTAGCTGGCAACTCTCCAACATTTTAAAAGCTTTTCCGGCATATCAACACCACCAGGCCAAACACCTCATGAGCAAAACCAGTGGCCTGACACAAGGCAGACAGACTGACCTTGAACATGACCTTGAACAAAGCGCCCACTCAGAGGAGCCCTTTCCCCACAGAGGAGCCTTGCTGGTAGCTTTTACCTTTTTCCACTATTTATTCAGATCAAGTAATACTGTTTTTTTCAACCATCTCAAGTGAAAGACAACCACCTGTCTTGCTGGGATTTGTTGTTGATGTTGTTGGTCCATCAGGAACCCTTCACTCCCCACTCAGCCTAATCCTCCTCCGGAGTGCATCTTCAGCAGCCATAACAGAACACTACAGTACTCTAGGAGTTTCCAAACAGCAATAACAATTGGTTTCCCCAGCTCTGAAAGTTGTGAAGTTCAGGATCAAGAAAGGAGTCTCACCTGGTGGTGGCCTTCTTGCTGGCTCATCAGGTGACAGGCAGACAGGCAAGCAAGGCAGAGGACAACCGGGGTGAACCAGCCTTCCCCGTCTCAGACATGGTGTTCAGGAACACGCTATCATGACTTGACTGTCTCTTAAAGCTCTACCATTACTGCTCTAAAAATGACATTTACATTTCAATATGTGTTTCGGAGGGGGACATTTATATCACAGCAGAAAGCTTCGAGAGAGAGAAATGGACATGACGTAAGTATACAGAGATGCTTGTGGGCTTCTCGGCGGGGTCAGCCCTGATAAACTCAGGCTAAATGGAAAACAGCACAAGCTGAAAGGGCATTTACCGCACCTGACTTTCTCAACATCACGCTTAGCAACACAGCACACGGTGCAGGGTCTGCTCTTCCCCTGTGACTGCAGGGCTGTCAAAGAGCTGTGGCTCACTGCTGCCACCAGACTTAGAGAAAAGTTATCCGACTCTTATTGGTGGCTCAAACAAAGGATATAGTTCAAAATCTGCAATACAGTTCCCATTGAACATGTCTTGCATTTGTATTCTCTCTACGAGAGAAAAAAAAAATTGGAAGTTGAACCTTCCTGAGTCATGGTGCTCGATCTATCTATCTATCTATCTATCTATCTATCTATCTATCTATCTAACACACACACACACACACACACACACACACACACACACACACGCACTTCCATGGAATTCCTAACAAACATTCGGGGCCTTATGCAAGGCCTCGCTGCCCAACCTTGTTCCTGGAGTAACTAGATTGCACTATTAACAATTAGGCTACGCAGAGCAGCTGCCTTCATGGAGTATCTGGTGTCTGTTAGGGGAGGGAAGGCAATAATTAATTACTTGCTTCTACCTCACCTGGAAACCTATAATTCACACTGTCACGGAGCCAACACTACCTAATTGCACTGCTATGGAAACAGAGGAGGCAAAACATAGAAGAGGAACCCTGGAGGTTCAGTGACTCCGGGCTGATTACCTCCTCAGAAACTGCTGAGATGACAGGAACGAGATGGGGTGGAGGCACCATGACGAAGGTCCAGGCCTTTCCACGCCTCCCACAGCAGAAAACTTCTTGCTCTGAGTTGTAACTTCTCCACAGTGGAGAAAAATTCCAGACATGAGCTGTGTTTAAACATTCACACCATTGCCGGGCAGTGGTGGCGCACACCTTTAACCCCAGCACTCGGAAGGCAGAGGCAGGCGAATCTCTGTGAGTTCGAGGCCAGCCTGGTCTACAAGAGCTAGTTCCAGGACAGGCTCCAAAGCTACAGAGAAATCCTGTCTTGAAACAACAAAAAAAACAAAAAAACATTCCCACCATTACATTAGAGGTGACCCAGATTGAAGAGGCAAGTTCAGTGAGTGGGCTTCCGCATGTACTGAAAGAGACTGTGACCTTGTCAACCCAACTCATCTACTAAACCTTTTCTAGAAAGGATTAGTTTAATTTTATTGGAAGAAAGGAGGGAGGGAGAGAGGGAGGGAGGGAAAGAAGGAAGAAGAGAAGGAAGGAAAGAACTCATTAATTCCTTCTGCATTCTCCTTTTTCAGCATTTAATACAAAATAATCTCCAAGGACTCAGGCAAGATCATCATCATTATGAACATCATTTATACTCAAAACCTCCTCAAGACACAGAAGAGAATTACTATCAGACTCCCCGAAGCATCCTTTCAGAAGTGAGTGCCCCCACCCACTCGTCACTCACCCCCACCCACCCATCATTCGTTTCTTCACCACGTCTGCCGAGCCTCTGCCACATACTGCTGCTGGGACAATAGGCTGAGATCAGGAAGGCACAGAGGTAGAGCTGGCAGAGGCCCATGGCTTGCTCATGATGCTGGCACTTGCCTAGGAGCAAGACACATACCTATAGGATGCCTGGGTTGTATCAGGGGTGGGAAGAGGAAACTGGTTTCCAGGTTGAAGACCAGAGAAAGTTCTACAGAGGAGATGACATTTGAGAACTTGGTAGATAACATTTGGAATTTAGTAGTTTTTCTGTTTTCTGGACTGAAAGGAAAAGAGTAAAAATCACTGAGTAATCAGCTGTGAGTGTGTGTGGAGCAGCCTATTAATCACCTGACGCCCTTCTGAGTGCTAGACACTGCACTCTGCCCAGCATGGTGGCTCCAGTGTTGAGTGAGCCTCATGGTCCTCCACAGTTCAGAGCCCACAGTCTCTGCCACCTAAGAGGCATGCAGCGGTCTCGGGTCAGGAGACACAGGGCAGATGTTTTTCTTTCCACTTGAGTCAAAGCAGGCTTCAGAGACCCCTGGCATCTGCCGTGTCTGGTGAATTGCTCAGGTAGGCCACGCTGCAGAGTGTGTGAAGGAATGGCAGAGTAGAGAATTAAACAGGAAAAGAGAGAACCAGCCAGCCCGTGACGGGTGCTGGATTTCAAGCTGACTTCACTCTGTGAGAAGCATAGAGACAAAGACAGTTTCTAAGCAGGGAAGTGACAAAGCATGAATTGACTTCCTGGCATATTGGCCAAGGAGTTATATGTGTGTTAGCCGCAGATAGAGAAGGTGGAATGGGGTGGTAGACAAAATTAGGGGAGCAGAGTAACATCATCTCTAAAACTGGGGGATTTTTACCAGAGGGCGACATTATAACTTGACGATGAATGCTGAGGTCAACTTGGTTATAGAAATGCTAAATCACAAGTGATTTAAACAAGCTGTTCATCACAGTGACATTCTCAGAGCCCCTGGTATGTCATCCTGCATTGTAAGCTGCCAAGTGCATAGCACAAGGCATGGCCCATGCTTGCTTTCTTTCTTTCTTTCTTTCTTTCTTTCTTCTTTAATTTTTGAGACAGGGCTTCTCTGTAGTTATTGGTGCCTGTCCTGGAACTAGCTCTTATAGACCAGGCAGGCCTTGAACTCACAGAGATCTGCCTGCCTCTGCCTCCCAAGTGCTGGGATTAAAGGCATGGGCCACCACTGCCCGGCAACCCATGGTTTCTTAAGCATAGAACATTTTCTTTCACCAAGAATACTTCCGCATTAGTGTTCTCTAGGGCAACCAACCAATCAGGTGTGTAGAAACGAAGACTGTAGACTCCCTGTGGAATATGGTGTCTGGGGACAACCAACCAATCAGATGCATAGAAAGGAAGGCTGTAGACCCTCTATGGGATACGGTGTCTGGGGAAGGAGATGAAGCTGTCCAACAGCTGTCAGGCAGTCTGAGGTGATTCAGGAATGTGGGGAAACAACAGGACTTCACCGAGCAGGAGAAGAAAAAGGCATGCCAGACAAAGAAGACCACATGAACGTGAGGTCTGGAAGAGCCTTTGGTGAGGAGACATATGCACGGATGACTGGCTTGATGGGAAGTCGATGCTCCTCTTAGAAGTCAGTGGTGAACTAGAGGGAAAGTATCCGTGGATATAAAGAGAAGTCAGAGGAAGTATCCGTGGATATGAACTAGAGGGGAAGAATCCGTGGACAGGCAGCAACAATTGCATCCAGTCTTTGGCCCAATCAGCTTCCAGGGTTCCATGATAGAATCAATCACCTGGAGGAAAGGCCCATGCAGTAAATGGCTAGGAACGGGCAGACAATAGAATACATGTTTCTGGAATGGGACACAAGGGCTCCTAGGAAGGAAAAACAGGTTTTGAATGTGCCAGAAACTGTGGTTCCATCTCCCGTGGTTAAGGCCAGGTGATACTCTCTGAATGTCGGCCGTCCTTGCAATGAAGATGTGTTTATTCCATTGCAGAGCAGTGGGAGGTGAGGAGCGGCCTGGCCAGCGGCAGACATGCACCCTTACATCTTTTCTTCTTGCCTTTAGTTGAAGAATACTGCTGACTCCAATGATTCCGATGACTCCATTGAATCCAATAGTCCAGACCACATTTTCAAGAAATCTGAGAGCAATTACATGTCAATGAGATCCTGGTGAGAGTAAATGCTTTCTAAGTACTGCTATTAGCTAACCTGTTTTTAATAGAGCAATTACCACCAATTCAGCGTGTTAACCTTTGTGTGAAGATATATACACATACATATATATATATATATACATGTATATATATGAATAACGTGTGTGTGTGTGCGTATGTGGTGTTGACATGAGTCATAAGGCACATGTAGAGGTCAGAGGGCAACCTTGGGTTTTGGTCCTCATCTTCCACTTTGTTTGGGTCATTCTCCTGTTGTTTGCCATTGCACATACCACATGAACTGGCCCGTGGACTTCCTAGGATTTCCCATATCCCATTTTGCCACAGAAGCACTGGGATTGGAGAAACCATGCCTGGCCTTACATGGGCCCTGGGGAGCCCACCTGAGGTCCTACTGTCTACATGGCGAGTGCTTTACCCACCAAGCCGTCTCTCTAGCCCCCAATTCATATTTGAATCGTTGGCAAATTGCTTCAGAGCATCACCAAAGACTCCGTTCTGCACATTGATTGATTCAGGTCGGATGTCCTTTATCTGAAATGCTTAGGATTATAAACGTTTCTGGTTTCAGAATTATTTCCTTTTTCAGATTTTGGAATATCTGCATATCCATAGTGAGATCTCCTGTGGAATAGAAGTTATCAAAACATGAAATCCATGGGCGATTCATATTTCCATTTGTACCTTACATACATAACCTGATGATAATCTTAGGCAGAAATGTTTGAAATTGACTTTGTTCATGAAAGACAATGTGATGGTGTGGACTTCCTCCACTCGCAGCATCCATATTGTCAGTCAGCATTTCAGGTTTCAGACGCTCAAGGGACGGGCGTTCAACCTGTGAACTTAAGAGAAAGGAATGTGGCAGCAGTTTCTTCGCCCACAGAAAGTCACTGGTGACATCAGGACACTTCTGTCTTCAGAAGTCTTCTGGTTTTTTTGGATTTTATGTCTCTCATAACCTCACCCCGTTCTCCCAACCCTGTAAAATGTTATTTCGATTCCAAGTCCATTTTTAGAAAGAAAGCTTGTTCAGTTTGACTCTGCCTCTGGTAGGATTCTGATGGTTGAATATATTCCAAGGGTTTGTTAGTCTTCTTCTGGCTGTTAGATGCTCCTATTTGACAGGCAGAGTGGAAAGCTGTCACTGTGTGTGCTTAAACAGACCCTTGTTCAACTTCTTATACTCCAGTTTCTTCAAACAATCGCCCCCTGCATCTGCTGATGGCGAAGCTGAAACCCAGAGCTCTCTGGAGACTCCGGAGCAGGCAACTTCTCTGCAGGAACTCGGCTCAGGGAGTTGTCTGTATCTTTCACTAGATGATCTGGAAGCACAAACCGCAGAAGACAAAATGGGGTCCGCCTCCCTAACTGTTGTGAAATTGTCTATATTACTCAAGTAAAGCTCTGATTTCTAAAACTCTGTGGGCCCTAAGAACAAGACAGATGCCTTAAATGCACTCGATATTACAAATTTCAAAGTAGTTCTTGAAATTTCCAAGTGAGCCAAGCGTGACAGGCTTCCTCTGTGGGTCACTGAGGCTGTGACCCTTCTCTGTGTCACTGATGTTGTGACCATGGGCAGTAAATGATAGAGTTGGAAGAAGAGTGGTCCCCCAGGATGGGGGTGGCCTTCCCAATGGTTTTGACACTTTCCCTTGGCCAGTCTTTCGGGCCCTAAAACCTGGACCACACTGATCCAGCATGGGCGTGCATCACCATCCTCCCGCACTAGCATCGTGTGGGCAGCCAAGCCCCCTGAGAGGCTGGGCAGATGAGAAGGGGAGAGTTTAGGCCCTAGGTGACGTCAAGGGCACTTGACAAGATAGTTGTGATTTTAGCTGCTTTCCATGCCCTCCTGTCTGAAATGATTTCCAAAAAACAAAAATGCAAATTGATCCGATGGAGATGGTTATAAGCCCACTTAGTCCAGTTTTGCCTCCTTCTGCTGTCTGCCAACCACTACCACATGCCAGAGGGGCAGGGCGGGTGGAATGAATGTCTTTCAGTACCTTAAATTCATATTTCTTTCTTGGTATGTTTTGGGCAAACTTTAGCTGGAAAATGTCATCTCAGAAGCAGAAGGCCAAAAATATACTCTGAAAGGATAGCTCAGAGCGAGGGACAGTTGGCTGTTTGATGCGACTTACACAGATGTTTTCTGTCCCAGCAATGTCCCCAACGAGAGCCAAGTGGAGACTCTGAATGTGTTCCTCACCCCTCGAGATGCCATCAACTATCTCGCTCTTGTAGAAGCGGCAGGACGGATATGGTAGGTGGAGCTTTGCACAAACACCAGAGGTGGAAGGACACCCTCATTCTGAACACTGCATTCGAGAAAACCGACAGAGCACTAGGGCTGGTGTTGTCAGAGAAAAGGCTCACCGGCAGAATGATTATTGTTATATTGGAGGTCAACTTTTGAGGGAGTCTAAGAGAACCAAAAATCCTAGGACTTAGGATGTTTCTGATCCTTCAAAGGAGAATGGATGGCAAGGGGCTGTTCCAGGCACCAAGGAGTGAATATTTAACAAAGGAAAGAGGAGAACAAGGTTAATAAGATCGAAAACAAGAGGGAGACTGTGAGGGCCTAAGAGTCCCAGACCCCATTCAAGCCTCCATTCCAAAACACAGGTACAAAATTCTGTGTGGCAAATATTTTTTGTTTTTGTTTTGTTTTGTTTTGTTTTTGAGATAGGGTTTCTCTGCAGCTCTGGGGCTTGTCCTGGAACTCACTCTGTAGATCAGGCTGGCCTCCAGCTCACAGAGATCTGCCTGTCTCTGCCTCCCATAATAACTATTTATCTGATTCTACATCGTCCTAGACTGTGACTGGACATGTTGGCGCAGGCCAGTAATCTTAGTTCCCTGGAATAGACTTCAAGGCAACCTGAGCTTCACAGTAGATTGAAGGCCAGCTTTCTCTACATAATGAGACGCTCTCCCCTTCCCCATCTTAAAATAAATAAGCCAGCATGTTTAATCCATTTTGGTGGAAGACTGAATTTTTACAAGGTAACCCTTTAATATAAATAAGATCTCATACTGCCATAACTTTCCATTTTTATAGAATTTTTGTAATTTAAGACTCGTAAATACCTGCTCAGCCTATGGACTTGTCGGTAACCAAGCTTACACATTTGTCCATTCATTCACTTATTAAATACTCACTGCAGTGCTGTGTGCTCAGGTCTGGCAGGTGTTTATTGAGCATCCTGTTTTCTTAGAACTGTGCAGTTATCAATTTTTAAACACCAGCTAAGGAAACAGAAAGGGAGTTCTGTACTCCCAGGGTCATAATGCCAGATGAAAAGGAGAGCCCCGTGAGTAAGTAAATATAAAAAGTACATCTTATTCGGAACTACAGTTAAAGTATCCCCGCCGTGTATAATTATAAGTCCTGGGACAGGAGAGAATGAATACAAGCAAAACAAGGGACTGCACTTGGCAGGGCTTGCAAGGGTGGTTAGCTTGGAGCAGGACTTGGGATGGAAGGGAGGCAGGGAGGAAGTTAGTCCAGACAGAAGGAGATGGTTGACTTCCAATGTGGGGCAATTCGGCACAGAGTGAAGTGATCCCACAGGCCCCATTTCTGCCCCCACAATGAGTCAATGAACTCTCTCTCACTTTCTTGATGGATGCTGTGTTCCCACTGCAGTGTGGCTCAGTGGGAAGGCCCTCCCCGACTAGGGTGCATATTCTGCCATGGAGACCATATCTTGGCTGTAAATGACCTGAAGCCCCAGAACCTGGAGGAGGTTTCCCTGTTTCTTACTCGCTGTGACCAGAAGGAGGTGAGTCCTACGTACCAGACCAGGCCAGATCAAGTCAGGGCTGGGAAGAAACTCCAGGTCTGGGAGGAAGTCTGGGAACGACTCAGAACATGAATGAAATTTTATCTTTTGTTTCAAGTACTACTGGAGAAAGCACTGGGCTAGGAGAGAGGGCTCAGGGCTTTTGATCTCGGGCACTTGTGGGTGCAGACTCAGCTCCCATGACTCAGACTAACTTGCGGACTGTAGGTATCCGCTTTAAGCAGTCTGTGTCTTGCCTTTCTGTAAAATCAGGGACAGTGGTTGCAGCAGTTGTTGAAGAACACAATGATGTAAGATGCTGACATGGTGGAGAGAAGGGGGAGGCTGGCCGAGGGAGGGGCTAGAGACAGTGAGAGGAAAGTGAGACAGTTTTTAGGGGCAGAGGAGATGGTGTATGTGTTCAGAGGGATAAGACATGACGAGTTGCAAGAGAAACATTCAATTTCCGTTTCCTTCCGCTTTGGGCTGGGGCTTTCCTGGATGGTGGTCTCCTTTGGATTACACAGGGTTCTGCAGGCCTTTTGAGTTCTTGGAGCAACTGGATCCCTCTGTGGCTGTCTTAGTAAGATTTCTACTTGGGAAGGAAACAACTTGGGAAGGAAAGGGTTTGTTTGTCTTACACTTCCATCACAGCCCATCACCAAAGAAAGTTAGGGCAGGAACTGAATCAGAGGCCATGGAGGAGTGCTGTTTACAAGGTTCCTTCCAACGGTTTACACACCCTGCTTTCACACCCTGCTTTCATATAGCACCCAGGACCATCAGCCCTGGGATGTGACGACCCACAGTGAGCATCAATTATCAGTCAAGAAAATGTGCTACAGACTTGTCCTTAGGCCAATCCCTTGGGGGCATTTTCTTACTGAGCTTCCCTCTTCCAAAATGAGTCTAGCTTGTGCCAAGTTCACATAACACTAGCCAGCACAGTGGGCCATCAGCCCTTTTCAGAACCTGCCTAGAGGCTTAGGCCAGTGGATGTCAGAAAATCAAAGTCCACGTTCTGCTTGAACATACAGATCACCTGCAACTGCCTTTGGTTCATCATAGGATTTCCTTCAAAAGCAGATTCAAGAGGTATGAAGGATGGGATCCTAAGGATACTCTCTAGTCATTTAGTTATCTCCTATCTTCTGTCTTAGAAAGTGAAACTCTCCATTGGCCGGATCCCACATTCAGAGAAGTTCCATGCCCCCTCCTGTGCATGCCCCTTAAAAAACCATTTGGCTGAGTCTGTCCAACAGAGTTTGCTGGGGAGGGCACTGAAGAGGAGTCCAGCCATCAAAAAGACCCAAAAGGAATCAACTGGAGAGTAAGCTGCCTCAGGCCCATGGCAGCAGAAGAAGGATGGAGCCCTGGATCATGCATGATCGGAGACAAGACAGAATCCTACTTTGAGTCACTGTACTGTCTTAACAGTGGGGGTCACTAGTCCCTCTGTGGCTGTTGCATTGAGGTCACATGGGGTAACAACTAAGGAACAGAGTTAGAATGGAAGGCCTTATTATCTGAGACTTGGCACCAGACATGGCAGGCATCGATTGAGTAAATCTATGATCTAATTAGTAGTCCTGTGTGCTTTCTGCAGTCACAATTGCTTCTTTGTTAGGAATTAGAATTACTCATTCCAGGGAGGCAAGAGATGAAAGTCTGTAGCTGTCCTCCCAGACACTTCCTGTGACTCAGCAGCCCAGGGGCCATCAGGCCAGGCAGAGTTGCCTGCATTCTTACCAGACTCAGTAGACCTGCTTTCTTAAAGACGCGGTAACTATTTTGGAAGCTAAAGAAGTTTGGTGCTGTATCCAGTCAAGAGCTGCTTGCTCCAAACATAAACAGGAAACTATGTTTATATGTTCTTAATTGACTGGTTTATTACCAAATTAGTCCTGTGAAGTCAAAGAACCAAAGGCCTTTTAATCAGGAAAGCAATAGCCGGCAGCTGAAATCTGATCAGCTTGGGGAATATCGGTACAGGGGGTGGGCGGTCAGAGGACACAGATCCGCAGACTGTCCTTTCGCCTGGAAAGTCAAAGGCTTTGAAAGTTCAGTGATATTCAGTCTTCATGACTCCGAGTTCAGTAGCTGTTGAGGGCAGAACCAAGAATCTAACCCAGCTTTAGAAAGAAGATTCCCTGACTTCTGCCTTGTATGTGGGTTTAGATTAGTAAAGACCTTTGGCACGCAGGAGAGACGTTCAATGTATTTCATTTTCTGTTATCTAGATTGTTGCCAGTATAACATGTATATATGTGTCTAAAACATATTAAATAAATAAATGTCTATACATGAATATTTCAAGTCTCATAACTAAAAAAAAAGAAGAAGCGATTTCAGTGAGGGAATAAAGTACCACTAAGGTAAGCTGCCTGAAGCCATTTGCGGGATGGGTTCCTGGGCTCTGAAATCCAGCTGTCCTCTGATCCCTGTGTGCCCTCAAGGAGGCAAAGAGGAATCTGAGGACCCAGGAGTCGATCATCCACCCAACTCACAGCAGCGCTGGGTGGGACAAGTAGACAGGACCGCAGGTCCTTCCCAGTACACTGTCCACCCACCACCCTACCCCAACCCCACAACTTACCTCCTGACACAGAATGGGGGATGTGGACCACACTCTGGGTGCTTCTCGGCATCCAAATGGCACTTTCAAGGGCATCCTAGGGGGCCAGCAGAGAGGACCCCAGTCTGCAGGAGAGCACAGAGCATGCGCTCATGCTAGAGGGTCTGTGGAGAGGCCCCCCCCCAGTCTGCAGGAGAGTACAGAGCATGTGCTCATGCTAGGGGGTCTGTGGAGAGGCCCCCCAGTCTACAGGAGAGTACAGAGCATGTGCTCATGCTAGGGGGTCTGTGGAGAGGCCCCCCAGTCTACAGGAGAGCACAGAACATCCACTCTTTAGTGGTGCTGAGAAAACAGATGGCCACCCACCTGTCTCCAACAGGAGCCTGAGGAGAGCATCTGGCTCCTCTCTGGCTTCCTCCTCTGTGGAGAGCAACTGAACCAGGGCCTGGAGGAAGCAGCCTTCCTGGCTGGGCCCAGGTATGTGCTGCTGGTGGCTGGGATGGACAGGGGAACCCATGCTATGCTATTCTCTGTGCTGTAACAGACACGAGCCCAGGCAGCCTCAGGGAAAATCCCATCTGTGATCTCCTTCACTGATGTCCATACTGACCACATTTCAAGTAAATGGCTGTGGCCTATGCTGCAAAGAAACCGGTCCAGCTGTCCTTAGGAAAGATAGCCCCCTTCTGGATCTACTTAGGAGAAAATAAGGATGGGTTGAAGCCGTTATTGGCTGTCTCATTTGTCCTTGTCCTGTCAACTTGACATAGCTTAGAGTCACAGGAGAGGAGAGTCTCAATCGAGAGATTAGATTGGTCTAATGTGGGCATGTCTTTAGGGGACCATCTTATTTGTTCATTGATGTGGGAGGGCCCAGCTCACTGTGGGCAGCACCATTCCCAAGGCACCTGGTCCTGAGCTGGGTAAGAATGCAGGAGCTTGTGAGCGAGCCAGCAAACAGTAGTTCCTCCATGGTTTCTGCCTTAGGTTTCCGCCCAGGCTTCCTCCAATGATGAACTGTAACCTGCATGCTAAAATAAATCCTCTCCTCTCTAAGTTGCTTGTGATTGAAGTGTTTGATCACAGCGGCCCAAAGGGAACCAGAGCAAGCCTCAGTCTGATATGGCGGAGGAAGAAGTCAGAGCTCAGAAACGGGAAATGATTTACTGACTGAGAGTACTCCAGCTCCATGCTGAACCCATACCTCAACCCATACCTTCTCTACATTTCAGTGGGACTTTGGAATACTGTTTCTCAGTTTCCTACTGGGTGCCTTGGGTCTCCAGAACAGACTGCAGGGGTATGTGGAGGTTTCCATTTGGTTCTCTCTGCTGAGATGAAAAATATTCAGGAGGAATTCCAAAGAACAGCTGGTTAGGAAGGAGAATGAGCGTGCAGGGTCAAGGCCACGGCATCACACTCAAGCTGTTGACATGTCTGCATTCCGGGAAGGTTTCTTTTCTGTGTGGAGAGCAGATGACCACGTTGATGTGTTTGTGTGCGGTGTATGTGCACACATGTGTACCAGCGAGTGAAGACAGGTGGCTCTGTCACTAGTCTGCCCGCTCTCTGCAGGGCATGTGCCAAGTGACTTTCCCTTGGGACGGTGAGAAGAATAGAACGTGATAAATGGGCCTCAAGGCTTTCGGACTCAGCTGGTTCACATCAGGGCTCTTTCCTGAAGTTGGACTGGTGGCGCATGGACTAAGTAGCACATGTGTTTTCTTGGAAAAGCTCTTCAAAATGTCGAGTTAATGAAATCTTTGCCGAATGACCGACAGTCCCACGGGATCTTGGGGCCCTTCTCCAAATCACTCTGCCTAGATGGTTCTGGAAAACTTGGCACTCACAGTGCTAGACCCTGGGACTGATTGACCCTACCTGATACAGTAGCCACCTGCCAAATGTGTTGTTTGGCCTAAAATTAGTTAAAATTAAATATACCTAAAATTCCCTATCAAAAGCACTAGTCACATTTGAGGTATCTGATAACTTTTGATGGTAATTAACTACAATAATGGACAGCACAGAAACAGACTTTTTCCATCATCATAGAAGTTTCTAGAAGACACCTTCCGCTATCTATGTCCCAAGAGGAAAACAGTTACATCTTACTCACCCCCATATTCCCAGCCCATAAATACAGTGAGCGGCTTACAACAAATGCTTGATAAACACATGCTAACGGAAGAAACCACTACAATTTAACCATTAATTCATAAACATTATTCAATTTTGATATTTTAAAATAAAATATTGACATCCATAGCCCTGATAACATTGGCTATTCTCTTTTCTTTTCTTTTCTTTTCTTTTCTTTTCTCCTCTCTCTCTCTCTCTCTTTCTCTCTCTCTCTCTCTTTCTTCTTTCTTGCCTGGTGTCATAGAATTAACTTGAAAACCAGCTATAGGACTTTTCCATATAAGTTGTTTCCTCAACAATTAGTAGGCATGTGTGGAGTTGGCAGCACTCTTGGGAGCTGTCATACAAACAGGAAATCACGGTGTCTACAGCTCTCCGGCAAACCGCTGAGCACAGTGACGAGGAAGATGAGTCCACCATGACCTCGGTGCTAAGGTTATTTTCTTTTGAGAAGCACCAATGCATAAGGCTATGTTCGAAATTATGTTAATTATAGTTGCTCCAAAATTTTGAGCATTTTCTGACATTCTTAGCTCTTCTTTTATAAGTGTGAACTTATGAAACCGATATCAAGGCTTGTTGCAACTGTACACATGCTGAGAATCAGCACTGCATGGTGTCGGAGGTTTTTACATGTCCATCACTGTTTAATGCAGGGCATTATGGGGTGCTGATTTGGGGTGGCAGGGTGACAATAGGGTATTGTCATGTATTCGCCTCTTGGCCTCTTTTAAATGATAGCTGAGAGAGCCAGAAATATGGCTGGGAATAAAACTATTTTTTAAAAATCCGAGGCCTACTGTATGGTCACAGAGGCATTCAGAAAGGAAGAAGGCCACCGTACACAGAGCGCTAATCATGACTCACACTGCTGCGTGCCTTCTGTGAGCAGGGTTCTATCCACACACTCTCCCCAATCCTACAATGGTTCTATGAAGTCAAGACTGACTGCCCCAGAAGCACAGAGAAGGGAAGTAACTTACCTGCTCCAGGTATGGCTGGCAAGAGCATGGCAGAGCTGGAATTCAAACCAGACACCCTGGATCTGGAGACCATAGCCTGACTGTCCTCACCGGGAGACCCATGGAAAAGAGGAAACACCGCTGAATGGGATGGTACACAACAGAGGGGGGCAGAGCCAGAACAAACATGCAGCACCCTTTCCAAGGCTTTCCTGGAGTGGCTCAACCTTTGGATGGGCCTCTCGTCTCGGTAACATAATCATAAGTTAGAATTTGACCAACGCTCCTCTTGCGACAGGTTTATATGTTTTACAGTTGTCCTGTCAGATGGGCCTGGTTCTATGTGACAGTCAATTAGTTGGCAACTAACACATCTCCAGTGACAAAAGCGTTACCTGTTCTCAGGGCAGGGAAGGAGTAACAGGGACTCTGACTCTGTAAACCTCGTCCCCACATATGCTAAGGCAAACCCACTCAGAACTAACTAGGAGACGAGTGTGACCCTCACCCAAATCCAGTGTCAGAAACACAAAAGCTGTGAAGAGGACTCCTCTGTGGCTGGTGTGGAAAAGCAGTGTCGTAAGTAGGTGAATTCTGAGAGAGCCCGGAGAGGGAGTCTTCTATCTTAAGGAATGAGTAGAGCTTCCGTGATACTCTAGAATAGGCCAGATCCCCATGCACAGCCACACAAAGCTAACTGCAGGGTGGAGAAGGTTCCAAGCATCTGGGAGCAGCCTGGGAAAGGCGTCCCTGTGTAAGAGACAGCTGATGCCTTGCTTAATAAGAATCCTTTACCCCTTTAGAGGCAACAGTTCTTACTCACTGCATCTTAAAATAAAATTAGCCAGGGCTGGGGAGATGGCTCAGCGGTTAAGAGCACTGGCTACTCTTCTAGAGAACCCAGGTTCAATTCCTAGCACCCACATGACAGTTCACAGCTGTCTGTAACTCCAGTTCCAGGGGATATGGTGCCCTCACACAGACATGCATGCAGGCAAAACACCAATGTGCATAAAAATAAATCTGGGCGGAGGGGAGAAAAATTAAAATAAACGTAAGAAAATAAGATTAAATTAACCACATTAAGCAGGGATCCTGTGGAAGCTTGCTCGGTAGTAGTAGGTACAGATGGCTATACCAGTGTTAACTTGGAGCAGAAGCAGAAGGACAATGGAAGGTGACAGAAAGGACTGGGAAGCAGGTTCTGTTGGGGAAGAGCTTCCGCGAAAGCATGAGGACTTGTGCTCCTTCCCTAGGATCCGTCTGGGTGTGGAGGTGTGAGTTCCCAGTCTCAGTACTGGGCAGGTGGGGACAGACGGATCCCTAGGGCTCGCTAGCCGCGTAGTGAGCTCCAGGCCAGTAAGAGACATTGTCTTTAAAAAGGTAAATGTCACTAGGCGGTGGTGGGGTACACCTTTAATCCAGCATTCAAGAGGCCAAGGCAGGGTAGATCTCTGAGTCTGAGGCTAGCCTGGTCTACAGAGCGAGTTTCAGGACAGCCATGACTGTGCAGAGAAATCCTGTCTTGAAAAACCAAAAAGAAAAGTCAAATGATGGCTGAGGTGATCTCCTGGCTTACACACACCTGTACTTGCATACACAAACAGATACACGGAGAAACAG